GGAACCACACAATTTTCTCAAGTAGTCAAGCGTTGGCATGATACTAAAAAGTATGGTAATCAGCCTGACTGTTTGCGTCGATCACCTGGACTAGTTGTTACTTTAAGTTGAGTTGATAACTCTTCAAGAATAATTTATTATATGGTTTATAAAGATCAGTCAGTTCATGACAATAGAATTCGCAAATAATATGCGACAGATTCCGAGTGCCCTTCACTAATTTGTATCGTTCTTATGTAATCTGCTGGTGATGTTTTGTTTCATTTAATGATATGATAAATCGATTATATTGCTCGTCATCTCGTTATGTTTTTTTTAGAGGAAACACTCGTGATATTTAGTAAATATTTGATCGTGATGTTTATCGAGAGAGTGAGTGAATATAAGTCGATATTTGCAAGGTTTTAGTTCGGGAATATTTCGGAGTTGATAGTTTCAAGAATTAGCAGGACTGTCAAATACACTTGTTTAAAACGTATATCTATATCTATTTATATCCTGGATCAGGTGGATACGCATTTGCAAATCGAGCGCGAGTCAAGTAGCCACTATTATGCAAGCAGTTACTATCTTTTGGACGTACGGAATCGTCCCGATTTGGCATTGGCTGCCCATTGTTTAACATTTTGGATGGAATTTTAAGGCATGGACATTGAACCTGCGATGCCAATATAGTTGGGTTAAACGTCTCCTAATCACTAGGCCATCGAGGCTGCTCGGAATATTTGAGTTTAAATATTCAGCGCGTCCAATCAATGACGTCGCGCGCAAACCACTCCCGTTTAAACAGGTCGCGCTCTTTGGTTATGTTTTTGGCGCCAAAATGCGATACTATGGCAATGTGGTTCTGTTACCAATCATGTAATAACAGCAGGGTTGCCATATTGTTTTTTTTAACGCCAAATTTGCCATTTTTGGCTTTTTTCAAACGCATATGGCGTCAAAATTTCCGTTTGACTTTTTGGCGTTTTTTTGGCCTTTTCAAGTCTATTCTAGTGTCTATTATTAAAATCATATGAAATACAATATTTAGTGTGTAACAATAGCCTACTACCTGTATCTAGCTACTTAACATTAGGATTTCCTGGAGCATCGATTTCCTTGTTTGTTACATTAACTCTTAACCATACCCAATACAGCAATAAGAAATAATTGCAGCCGCTCAGACAGATGTCCAAGCAGGGTTGTAAACATTGCCTCGTTTTTATAGTTTTGCGTGGTATTTGTCAGTTTTTAGTTCTGTTTTCAAAAAATAGGTGTATACCTTAATTTTCATTACCGTATGCCTGATATGGTTTATGTGAGCTTTAGTTGCTGCAATTGCAGTAATCAAAATTCAGTTTCACGAACGATGTGATTAACTACGCTAAAATTACTGAATTACTCAGTGGTCCACCTGTGAGCGGCACGGGGTTAGATAATTTTTTAATAAAATCGATGGTTCATAAATATAAAAAGTGAAAATTGTTTTTAATAGTTAAGTATGATATAGGGAGAATTTTTTAAGGTATATCACAAGTTTAAGTAGAGACATGTAGGTATATTACATACTGAAGCAGCATCCTGTATTGTATATATTGAATGGTAAAATACTGCTGTCCGCTTGATATTTATTTTACTTCCTACAGTTCTATAGGAATTTTATTTTCTATTTGTGTGCCTCACTGAATTAACTGATGGCTCTACGTCTTCATCAGTACGTTGCCATGGGCTTAAAATCTGACAAACCATGGGGCTTTTGTACTTAGTAAAATTGTTGGCTTTTTTGTGTCTTGATTTGGCTTTTTATGATCGCTGGGACCTGGCAACCCGGAATAGTAGTAGCGATCAGGAAATCGGAGAATCACATTTTAAGGATTGGGTTGTCTTATATTTAGAAAAATACACAGATAAGCTGATTTAGTCGTATTCATTATTGTTATAACTATTGAAATATCTTCAGAACTTTTACGTGCTTACTATATTTTACTCGTCATAAATTTATTCTGGCAACGAACTTCCTATTGATGAACCTTTGATGCTTAAACGAAGTTCATGGCATTTTGAATAGGGATTTATGTAGATAGATAGATAGCTAGCTATTGAAAGTTAAGTTTTTTTTTAATTCGCCTTTTTAAAGTCCCCTATTCGGGCCATTCAATCTGAATGAGGGCCCATCACAAGCATCCATTGATATCTAAGGGGTATTTTTGGAAGGGCCGCAATCTTTTTGGCAGAGCATCGCCTACTGCAGCGGTGCAGTTTGCAAAGCACACACACACAGTTCGATTGTCTGGTGAGTCCGGTGACTCAAGTAAAAAACTTTCTTTAGCAGTTAACAACGGATATAAACAGATATAAAAGCTACCAACGAAAACGCGTCCTATCTTTAACAGCAGTAATACCAGAATAGAGGAAACATGTGAAAACCAGGCCACGTGAACAGGGGTGCCTGGAGCCAGCCAACAATAGTCGAACTTAACTATTGTGCGTCATAACTAGGTTACGCAACTGAACTAGGTTACGCAAAGCGACGCCTACGTCAATATTAAGAAATAAAGCAATGAAAGAGAGTCAATTCCAGCCCCGTTTGACCCTGAATGAGATGGTGCGCGTGGAGAAAGACTTTAGTTATTAGGCATAGCTAACTACCGTCCATGGGATTACGAGTTCGTTACTGATTGCATTGGCAAGGTTATTTTTCAAAACTATAAGAACAGATATGTTGTAGTTCCCGAACGTGAATATACTGCGCTCGTTCACGTCTTGAATCACGATTATATTTGCTTAGCGCTATTGTTTGTCTACAGTAAATTGAAACTGTTTTCTCGGTGACGGAATATCACCGGTGTACCGGTTTGGGTGAGCAGGGATCAACAAACCACCTTTTTATTTAGTAAAAATTAAATTAAATTCAAAGCGGCGAGGCAGAACCAATAAATGTGGCGTACGTATTAAACAAAATAAAGTTTAAAATGGTATTCAGCGTTGTTGCTTATAGTCTTGAAGTTCGATCGTTATATATATTTCTGTGACGGACATTCGATTTGGAAGGAACCACACAATTTTCTCCAAGTAGTCAAGCGTTGGCATGATACTAAAAGGTATGGCAATCAGCCTGACTGTTTGCGTCGATCACCTGGACTAGTTGTTACTTAAAGTTGAGTTGATAACTCTTTAAGAATAATTTATTATATGGTTTATAAGGATCAGTCAGTTCATGGCAATAGAATTCGCAAATAATATGCGACAGATTCCGAGTGCCCTTCACTTATTTGTATCATTCTTATGTAATCTGCTGGTGATGTTTTGTTTCATTTAATGATATGATAAATCGATTATATTGCTCGTCATCTCGTTATGTTTCTTTTTAGAGGAAACGCTCGTGATATTTAGTAAATATTTGATCATGATATCGAGATAGTGAGTGAATATAAGTCGATATTTGCAAGGTTTTAGTTCGGTAATATTTCGGAGTTGATAGTTTCAGGAATTAGCAGGACAATGAAATAAACTTGTTTAAAACGTATATCTATATCTAGTTATATCTTGGATCAGGTGGATACGCATTTGCAAATCGAGCGCGAGTCAAGTAGCCACTATTATGCAAGCAGTTACTATCTTTTGGGCGTACGGAATCGTCCCGATTTGGCATTGGCTGCCTATTGTTCAACATTTTCGGATGGAATTTAAGGCATGGACATTGAACCTGCGATGCCAATATGGTTGGGTTAAACGTCTCCTAATCACTAGACCATCGAGGCTGCTTGGAATATTTGAGTTTAAATATTCAGCGCGTCCAATCAATGACGTCGCGCGCAAACCACTCCCGTTTATCGTTTGAACAGGTCGCGCTCTTTTGCTTGGTATGTGTTTGGCGCCAAAATGCGATACTATGGCAATGTGGTTCTGTTACCGATCATGTAATATTAGCAGGGTTGCCATATTGGCTTTTTAACGCCAAATTTACCATTTTTCAAACGCATATGGCGTCAAAATTTCCGTTTGGCTTTTTGGCGTTTTTCAAGTCTATTCTAGTGTCTATTATTAAAATCATATGAAATACAATATTTAGTGTGTAACAATAGCCTATTACCTGTACTTAGCTACTTAACATTAGGATTTCCTGGAGCATCGATTTCCTTGTTTGTTACATTAACTCTTAACCATACCCTATACAAGTATACAGCAATAAGAAATAATTGTAGTTTCTGCAACCGCTCAGACAGATGTCCAAGCAGGGTTGTGAACATTGCCTCGTTTTTATAGTTTTGCGTGGTATTTGTCAGTTTTTAGTTCTGTTTCCAAAAAATAGTTGTATAACTTAATTTTCATTACCGTATGCCTGGTTTATGTGAGCTTTAATTCTGCAATTGCAGTAATCAAAATTCAGTTTCACGAACGATGTGATTAACTACGCTAAAATTACTGAATTACTCAGTGGTCCACCTGTGAGCGGCACGGGGTTAGATGATTTTTTAATAAAATCGATGGTTCATAAATATAAGAAGTGAAAATTTTTCTAATAGTTAAGTACGATATAGGGAGAATTTTTTAAGGTATATCACAAGTTTAAGTAGAGACATGTAGGTATATTACATACTGAAGCAGCATCCTGTATTGTATATATTGAATGGTAAAATACTGCTGTCCGCTTGATATTTATTTTACTTCCTACAGTTCTATAGGAATTTTATTTTCTATTTGTGTGCCTCACTGAATTAACTGATGGCTCTACGTCATCATCAGTACGTTGCCATGAGCTTAAAATCTGACAAATCATGGGGCTTTTGTACTTAGTAAAATTGTTGGCTTTTTTTGTTTTTTTCTTGTGTCTCGATTTGATCGCCGGGATCTGGCAATCCTGAATAATAGTAGCGATCAGGAAATCGAAGAATCACATTTTAAGGATTGGGTTGTCTTATATTTAGAAAAAATACAGATAAGCTAATTTAGTCCTATTCATTATTGTTATAACTATTGAAATATCTTCAGAACTTTTACGTGCTTACTATATTTTACTCGTCCTAAATTTATTCTGGCAACGAACTTCCTTCTGGTGGGGTTATCAAAAGATACTTTTTGCTCTACAATTCTTGATTTGAAAATGGAAGGAAATAACCTACGTCAAGGCGACGGGCCGAGTCTGGCTGCAAATGCAGGTAACTGGTGTGAAAAAACTTATATAAATATTTCTATGTTCCAGGCCGAGTTAGATTAGTCTGATTTATTTTTGATCCCTTAACTCACGAGAGGTATCATCTTTAAACATCTGAATATTGTGTTACATGAACGATAATTTAAAAAATCCACCCATCAGCTAGTTCAGGTTTGACCAAATACGCTTATTACTCACTCTACATCAGTTAATGGAATTACTACTTCCCTAAAAGGAATAAGAATCCTTCATACTGGCATAGGCCAATGTGTTGTCTCGAACAATAATTATGCTTTTTGAGAGATAGATTCTTGTGGTAAACAGTTTTAATGTGACTATCTGTTTTGAGCATTCATTGCTTTTCTATAAAAATAGTGTCAATAATGAGTCGGAATAAATATAAAATTTCAGGCAATTTTCCCAAGTGTACATATGAATTGTGATTTCAATGCCAGACTGCACTGTTTTTGCAAAACGTTTTCTGAATCAAAAAATCGAATGGCATAAAGTTTTCAGAAGTAGAGATCAAACACATTTATAAGCAGAGTGCTGACACACATTCTGTTCATCTTGAAAAATAATATAAAATAATAAAAATATCTCATTTAAACAATGATTTTTTTTCAGTTGGCGAAACTGTTAGTCAAAATGCTCCGATCATCAATCAAACCATTCATCATCATCACTATCCAGCACCGAATGCTCATCATCCAGGTATTGCGTAATTTGTTTAATACGTTTATACTCTGAATTATCATCCCCGTACCATTCATATGCACTGGAATAGCGGAATTTTATCATTGGCGTGAGTCTTCAATTACATATGTAATGCAAAAGCAGTCGACCGGTTAAAGACTTGTTTCTAACTTTTTTTGAAATAGAAAAAATTTGAGGCTACACAATGGCTAAATATCTACTTACTACAATATTCGTTTACCCCTTTTCATCGTCTAATTCTTTAAGGGAACGACCCACAGCATCGAGAACCCAACAACTAGAATAATGATGATGGGCAACCTCCTGACTCCCCAAATGACGCCCCACATTTCCCACAACCAGTCGAAGCAGATATAGAACCAGAAAACCTTGGTAAGATATTTTGATATAGATGAAAGCTTGTTCATAAAGTCATAGTATTTTAGGTAATTGGGACATTTTTGCCAATGCTTACAACTTCCACTAGTAATTGTAAATGAGATTTAATATGTGAAAAGTTTTGAAAAGTAACATAACAAGTAACATCTTATGAATTTTTTCTGGTATTGAAGCCAATCGCCCAATTGTTCCAAATCATTCACGTCATTGCGGTCAAACGAATGAGCGATGAAGCCGAAATCGCAAAGAAAACCAGTTTACATGTGATATCACAAAATATGATAGTAATATTATATATGATGTAAAATTTCCAGAAAACGACCCACAGCATCGACAACCAAACGACCAGAATCGTGATGAAAGATTCTTCATGGATCCATCGCATAACCGTACGCCACCCCATATTCCACAAGATGGCGATAGTGAATCACAAAATCCTGGACCGTCAGCTATACAACCCACTGGTAAAATATTTCAATAATCCAAGATTTATATTTCACATTTGACTTGAGATCATTTTTGTCAATTTTTCCATACATATATATTGCAAGCATTATTATTTATTTTGGCTGCATTTGCAACTGATTAAGCCTGTTCCAACTCAAGCGTCATAAACACTATAACCCAGTGAGCCAACTTTTATGCAGTCATGTTTGCTCAAAGTAAACTGTCGCGCAGCATAATGAGCGCTAGAGGTAAAACAAATCTCGTTCGAAATTTGCTCAGTCCGGGGTAGCAAAAATTGGAACTCGTTAAACGGGTACCTTACCAGTGCGATTAATCTAAGCTCGATCTCAACATTATCCCTAACCTAAACCAGCCTTAACTATATGCAGAGGCAAAAGAACAAAAAAAGAATCATTACTCACGCAAGACCCATTAGGGTTGTTGAGGTTACATTATTCCCAGCCGTTTAGCCTTCTTCCTTGCGTTTTTTCAGTAGTAATAACTAATAAGACATAGTAGATGCATACGCAGGAAGCAAAACATGCTCTCTGAACGGCAAATATTAAATAACTAAACGAAAATGTTCGATAAACAAAATTTCATATCAGTATTGCCCACACCCAGGTATTGAAATTTCGGCAGCCGGGGCAAAATAAGTTTGTAACATGTCACCGTAGAGGATTCAAATGGCATATCTAGCAATTTTAAGTATATGATGTTCTATCAAATATCTGATTAATATTTTTATATCTACGTTTCAATTCTGCGTTGACTTAAACTAGGACGATGAAAGGAAGACAAATCCAGATAAAAAGTGGGTTCGACTGATCCATACGAATTCACAATTGGTCACTTAATCCATCCAAATTATTTTTATTCTCAATTGTCCACAGGGGAAATCGAAGACATAGCTCACACTGCTGAAGATGCAGATGGTCGAACACCTCGCGAAGTTCTGACATCAGAAACAAACAAAAAGCAAAAGCAAAGTAAGTAGATTACACACGTGATGTAGGACACAAGTTATCATATAAACGTGTTCAAGATTATAGATAATGTCATATTTGAATTACTGCCTCATCGCCACATTTTGATGATTGTTAAATTTCATTGATGCCTTTCCTTCGGGTGTGCTTGAAACTAGACAAGTCAGTATTTCAATATGTAAACGAATAGCTAACGGAGACCCTAGGACAAGGGTGGGCAACTCTTTTCACCTCGCGTGCCAAAATCTCCCAAATTTAACGACAAAATTCTTCTGCGTGCCCGCCAAAATTAAAAACAATGCTTTGCTACTTTCAAAACAAAAATACACAGTAATCACGCAATAGTTTGTTTTCTGAACTTCTCACTTGTATTTCCTTCCCTAATCGCTTATATTTCTTTCGAAATCAATTTATAACAGTAAGTTAGCAAGAAACTCTAACCAACATGAGATGTACAACTTCACAAATCAAGCAGAAATTAAGAAAAAGGGTGGCACAGACAAACTATACATATTACGTACGAATGTAGCCAAATGAATGCAGTGTTCTTCTCGAGAAAATTTCTCGAGAGCTCACTTATTTGTTACGTCATACTATATTTCTTTGTTGTCATATGTTATGAAAGGTCAAAAAGAGTTTAAATAAATAACGGATTGTTAACAAACGATAATAAACGAGAGTATCGGTCAGAGACCGAAGACTTATCGATCGAAAGTTAGGGAATCCCCCAAAACAGAAACTGCGGTTTCGATTCGAAAAATGCCGCATACCCGAACTGGATTGTTTCGATTAGTTTTCAGCCAATATCAAAAATGTAGGAAACAATAGCCAACTCCCCACGTCGTCGTCGAAATACTACTCGAAGAAATACTTTTATAAAGAATTCTGCAAATCCGAACTGGATTGTTTCGATTAGTTTTCAGCCAATAGCCTATTTACCAATCCTATATTTTGTGTCAAATATAACGGCGCTAACCCGGGTTGCGAAAGCTATCCAAACACAGCGATATTTTAGTGAGGAATTCTGCAACCCCGAACCTGATAGAGATAGAGGGATATGGAATTGCTTAAACCTTGAAGAGTAATTATAAGTAATGAGATAAGATCTTGCGGCGTGTATCCTTCGCTCTGACTCAATAGCGTGAAAACTTCCTCGAAGGAAACTTGCGTATCGCGACGACGTCAAAGTTACAAGAGGGATATGGACAATGCTTAAAGATTAATCACGAGATGCGATCTAGCGGGGGGTTTCCTTTGCTTTGATTCACTAGCGTGAAAACTTGCGCATCGCACACACACACACATTCAGCGCATCTCAAAAATCTCTCGCTTTGTAAGAATCGTTCTCTCGATTTGCAAAAATCCAGATCTCTTCATCACTAATCAGTTAATAACTCGCTTATAATACGACGTAATTCATCCAAAATCAATAGGCTTCTAATCCGAAATATGATCAATGCACATGCAAATTTTGAAGCAGATTCAACCTCGCTTTCGTGAGATATCGCGTGTATCTAACAGACAGACAAACAAACGAGAATATCGGTCAGATACCGAAGACTTATCGATCGAAAGTTAGGGGATCCCCCAAAACAGCGATCTTACTTCATAGTGACACCTTGTGTCCCATCACTAATTAATTAATAACTCGCTAATTATACGACATAATTCATCCAAAATCAATAGGCTTCTGGTCCGACATATCATGAATGCACATGCGAAATCTGGAGCAGATTAAATCTCGCCTTCGTGAGATATCGCGTGCATCTAACAGACAGACAGACAGACAGACAGACAGACTAACAGACAAATACCTATCAACATACTTACCGATTAAAATCGATAAGTAATAAATGAACACCGAGTTTCATCAGATAATTCAAAGTCTTGGAAGTTTTTATTTGAAGGAGAATGATCTCGTTTCTGAGGCCTCGCTCGCGTGCCGAATAAATGGGCTCGCGTGCCACAGGTTGCCCACCCCGGGCCTATGATTTGCTCACGTATGAAGCACTTCGAGAACCTATGCACTGTAAGACCACTAGCATACACAACACACATGGTACAATTCCAGTATCAAAAGAAAGCTTATAGCATAGACGAAATTAGTTTTCGTTACGACGATGCCTCACGCAAGGTGTAATAAATTGGGCAGGAGCTTCTAAACTGAAGATTTTGGCCCTTCCAAACTAAAGCTACTAAATCAAACTACCTAACAACTAACAGTGCTGCTTGGGCAGAGCCTCGTTTGGAGCGAAATGGGCCTAATCTTGATATCTTATGCCCATTCTAGAGCATGATATGTAGTATTTTCTCTTTAATATAACAGAGCTATGACCTCGACATCATGTTATACTATATACAAATGCTCATGAGTATATGGAAACAACGTTCTTTTAAAATTACACATTAGAGAATATTCATTTCGGTTTTTTCCAAAAGCATTAGGTTCAAAAAAATGGAATTATCACATTTATTTATCATATTCAACTGGAAATGATTCCATTTTTTCATTCAACTATTGAACGTGCTGCAAACTTAGGCTGAAATCTCAGCCTCAATATTCATAGTCAGTTTTGCCTGTGTTTTGAAATCCATGTCCTATAGCTTTATTTGCGAATATAGTTGTAGTATTTTTGTTGAGAATATAAATGATAGTTTATACCAGCGTTTCCCAAACTTTTTTGGTCACGGAACACTTGCACTTTTTTATCTCGCCTCGCGGAACACCAAAAGAGGAAAGGGTAAAATTGTTGAAGAAAAACGGTGTGTATAATGTAGGGGTTCCCCATGGGTTTGCCGTGGCGAGTTGCCAAATGCGCCGCGAAAACTAACAGAATTGTGTTACCTAAAATAGAATATATTACATGTTGCAATAATTATAAATGTTTAACCGTTGCCTATAATTTAAATGCTGTGTATATGAATTATAAATTCATTTTATCTTTCTATGTCGTTTACTTTCCATTCCGCAGTGTTTATTGCCTCTAATGTCACGTCTAATGGAGATAGAATTTCGCGAACTGCAGACATGCAGTGTATTTATCTGCTGAACCATGTTCATCGAACATGAGTATTTTTTTCAGTAACGTTAAAGTAAAACCAGGCAGAGATGGAGGAAGAAAAGTAGACCGTTATTATTATTTAGATAGACAAACTTGTTTGCCTACAGCAAAAAGGATTGCTGTAAACTTGATAATGAACTTAACAGTCAAAAAGCAAGGCCGATGGTTAACGAAAATGCCACTACCCTGCCCAAGATAGTTCGCTTTAGTCCGACGTTAAAGCGATATCGAACGGTCAGATGGGTGACAATTTCACGATCCCTAAATCGCCGTGGCGACCAATTTAGACGTAATTGATTTCTTTTCCACGGAACACTCGGAAGACGCTCGCGGAACACAGTTCGGGAAACGCTGGTTTATACAATCAAACATAATTTATTTATTTTTAAATGTTTCAGAATTGACAAAAGAAAAGCCACCGAAGCGCAAGTCAAATGCGTCTGAAGATAGCGAGTCTAAAAAAAAATTCAAAAAAAAATCTAGTCTATGTGACAGAAAAGGTCGGTTTCTTACTTGTTTGCTATATATATATATATATAGTATATATTATGCAAATTGAAAAATAAGAATAAATCATTTGTTTATTGTGAACTGTAACATTGGTTAGGCCTAGGAGTCTACTCGGCTTAAACGTCTACTCGGGGAGTAAGACGAGGCCTTTTATTAACACTAATTTTTTTTTTATACTACCGTCCAATAAGTTGAGATAGAAAAACTAGGTTACTTTTTTCATGTTCGACAAATTGAGCACAAATACGCGCTCCATTTTTATGATTTTTTTACTTATTTTTCGCAGATATGCACTTTCTCTATTCGGTGTGTTTACAGTACACGCGTCAACGTGAAATTGCCCTTTTAATGATTTACTCATTCATGGTGTCGGTAATTGCTTTTGCTCGGGGTACATGTTTGCTCAAACTAAACTGTTGCCCGACATAGCAAGCGATAGCGGAAAACAAAATTCCTTTGAAATTTGCTCAGTCAGACTGGGTGGGTAGAGATAACTGGAACTCGTGAAGCGGGTGCATTACTCATGCGATTAATTTAAGCTCGATCTCAACATTATCCCCAACTCTAACCAGACTTAATTATATGCAGAGGCAAAAGGGCAATAGTCGCAAAAACAAAATCATTAACCATACGCAAAGATCATTCATTAATTAGAGTTGCTCGCGGTACAGTATTCCCAGTCGTCTCTTTTGCGTTTCTCCACAAGTAATAAGGCCTAATAAATGCATACACATACAGCAAAGCATGCTTCCTAAATGGCAAATATTAAATAACCATACGAAAATGTTTAATTAAAAAAATTTCGTATCAGCAGTGGCCATATCTAGTCATTGGAAAGTCGGCAGCCGGGGCTAAATAAATTTGTTTCATGCCACCGTAATGGATGCGATTTTGCAAATTTGAAGATTATGTTATATTACATTCTAAATGATATTTTAACAAGAGAGCAATGCTCAAATATATGGACACGCAGAACAATTCCCCAAAAATCATATGCGGTGACCAACGACTAACATACCGGCGGTGACTTACCAGTACCTATATCGGGGTACCGTGACGGTACAGGGACTGTCATAGATATTTTAGGTCCTGTGACAATTGAAACATCAGTTGAAATATCTCGTGATATGAGTCAATTATGTACCGTATTATCGGATCAGGTACCGAACCACAGTCAAACATTTCACATAAAAACGTTACTAAATAACATGCGTCAACTTAACACCAGCCGAATCGGGGTACAATTTTTGGTACAGTGACTGTCATAGCCGTTTAGGACTGATGGACAATTCGACTACACGGACAACTCACCAGGCCTAGGGTGGTGTAGCCAGTCTGCGGACAATTTCATTCAAACCGCTATAAAACAAAAACCAATATATCTAACCCGTTAATTTTTTCACCGTGGGTGCATTGGCGGCATTTATTCTACACGCTAAACCTCGTATTAACTTTCTACGACAAAGGGTTGAAGCTATACAAATCCCCAAAGTACGGCACTCGAAAGACGTATTTGCGACCGACCGGATTTCAAGCCTTGATTACCGTTTATGCTGCGTCGAGACTATCGCATACGCAGCCATACAGCAATCAAACAGACAAAACACGGTGGTCGCAAATTGGTTGACAATTGTTGGTCTTGTGACAGCGTGAAAACATTGGGCTTCTAATTGCATTTCTGACCGTCATATATTTCAAGAACACGGTTATTTCGAACAAAACTCGTTAAATTATAAACAAAGCACCACATCACAGCAATCAAACAGACGAAAACACGTGAATTGAAATTGCAAGATGGTCCGTTGGACACAAAATGTCGTCCGATATCCGCAGAACGTTTAGTGACGTCATAGCAAACAAAAACAAATCTTACAGAGCTAACAGAAATATTTGAAATAAATAAAAGTAATAGCCTTCTGGAGAAAAATTTCATCTTCAACTACTGAAAATTTCAAAGCAATTAGTCCAGTAATCAAAGAGAAAAGCGACTTTTTAAAAACGTGTCAAAGAACAAGAACAACAACAACATAATATTGAAACGATCGTTATGTCCACTACGTGTCCAATAATCACGTTTCAATTCTGCGTTGACATAAACTCAGACGATAAAAGAAAGATTAATCTAGTTGAAAAGTTGGCCCGACAGATCAAGACGAATCCAAAACGGGTCACTTAATTCATTCAATTTTTTTACTCTCAACAGGGGAAATGAAAAACGACGATGAAGGGGTAATCGAGGACGTAGATCACACTGATGAATATACAGATGGTAAAGCACCTCCTGAGTTACCGAAATCAGAAACAAACGGGAAGCAAAAGCAAAGTAAGTTTTGACCATATAAGCGCATTGCACACGTGCTGCAAGACACAAGTTATCATACAAATGTGTTCCAGATTCATGTATTAAAAGTAAGCTTAGCAAAAACCATCTCCATTCTCCATTTATTTCTATACAGACTACGGAAACAACGTCTTTAAAATTAAAAAAAATATATATATATTCATTTCGCACGCGTTTTTTCCCAAAAGCAATAATTTAGAGAAAATGAAATAATAATAATAGAATTGATTTATCATCTTCACTTGGAATGAATTTATATTCTCGTTCAACTGTGAACGTGATGCAAACTTAAGCTGAAACCCCAACATTTTATATACAATATATGTATATATTTAGCTTGTGTTTTGAAATCATTTAAAATGTCTTCTATAGCTATATTTACAAATATAGTTGTAGTATTTTTGATGAGAATATAAATAAATGATAGTTGTTCAATAAAACACAATTTATTTATTTTTAAATGTTTTAGAATTGGAAAAAGAGAAGCCGCAAAAGCGCAAATCGAATGCGTCTGAAGATGGTGGGTCTCAGAAAAAAATGATCAAAGAAGAATATACAGAATTTGAACTATTTGCAGCCAACGGTGGGTTTCTTATCTCTTATACCATATGTTATGAGAATCAATTGAGAATAATATAAATTATCATAATTATTTATTAACTATTACTACTATTAACTACTTATTTACTTTTTTACTACTATTAATTATTATAATAATTATTATTATTATAAATAATAAGAGAATTAATAGAGAATTTGAACTATTTGCAGACAACGGTGGGTTTCTTATCTCTTATACCATATATTATGAGAATTAAAAATAGTTTTTCGACACAAAAAGGAAATTTCTGTATGTTGTATTGTGTAGCATTAATGAGTCGAAATATATTTAATAGTAACAAAATTGCCATGTAAGTCAAAGTAAAAATGATCAAAATTTTGAGTCTTTATTTCCTTTTTTGGTAGAAAGAGTAAGAAATCTCATGAGACAACGCAAATACGAAAAAGCACTTAAAGATCTAATTATTCTGAAAAGTCATTATGGAACGAACCAACATGTTGAAACCCAGCTTAACATTGCGGAGTGTTCAGCTTGGACTTTGAAAGCAAAAGCAAAGGTTCGAGATGCAATAAAAGACGTAGAAACAACTATAAAAAATTCGATGGGCACGAAAATGGAAGTTATAAAGAAGATGGCAGAAGACGCAAGCGAAGGTAAAGACAAGACTATGACTGTACGAGCTATTATTTACTATCGTATATGCTCTATTTTGTGCAAGGAAAAAGATAGGAACAAAGTTTTTCCTGAACTGATTAAAGCTATTACCGAGCTTCCGATTCCCCCAGCATTAAAAAGGAGCGACAATAAAGCAACTCAAAAAGGTAAAACTGGTGAAAAAAAGGGTGGAAAAAATACAAAACCTGATGATATGGCTAAAGACTTTATCATTCCATCACTAGAAGAAATTTTGGAGAGCTTGACAAAAGCCGGTAGTACAAACACAACAGAAACTTCTGTTCACTCCGAAAGCGATGAACGTATTTTGGAACGTATTTTGGCGATTGCAAATGCTCAGTACAGCATAGCGTTATATGAAGTTGAACATGGTTTCACGGATTTCGCTTTAAAGCGAATAGAAGTTGCTATGAGCAAGCTTACAACCAAATATTCAAAACATATCGTGTATGCTGAGTTGCTCTTCCTAGAAGGAAAAGCCCTAGCATTGAAGGAAAAATTGACAGAAGCTCGCAAAAAGTTCAAAAAGGCCATAAATTATGCCAATAAAGTAGATTGTAAAGAAAAATCTTCGCTCTTGCGGAAAATAATTAAAGAACAAGAAAAATTGGATAAAAGTAAAAAAAAATAGAACAGAAAATTCAACAAATGTACAGAATGGCTGATTGCATGAACCATAAAATAAGTATTGTATAAACAAAAAAGTTACGCCATAGTGATGTATTTTATGCTACGTAATGATTAGCTTGCTTATTCGTGTTTTTACTTGATTTTACTTTTATGCATTTTTGTCAGTTACTGGTTTCGGTAGTTGAATGAAAAAGGTTGCTGCAATTTTAAATGTGCTTGATTAGAGACACAGTTTTGAATATGATGATTGGAAAATTTTTAGATTAATGTATATTATGTAAATAATTTTTCGGTAATAAGAAATTGACAACGCGGATTGCAAACTTACTGACTCAAGGTTTATTAGCGAGTTTAGATCAGAATATGAACTGAGTTATCGCTACTGAGTTGTAGAGTAATAATAATAGAACATTTTTACTTCAAATAATGTTATACATAGGTCCTATAGTTGTACGGTCCGAGGTCCTATAGTTGTTTTTTTAAATCTTACCATTAACCGATACGTTTGGCAAGCGAAACGATATAAGTGTGCACGATGATTATAGCAGAATTATGAATGTACAGTACTGTTGTTATTTCGATAATTGTCACCACCTAAAAGTTATGCTTATGAAGTGCCTCTGTCGTGCTTATGCCATTCTCTTGCAACGCACATGCCATGTTTATGCAATGCGCATGCCTATACAGTGCTCACGTCACGCTTCCGTCATTCTATTTCTATCCGCAAACCGCCCTTTCTACTTAATTCCACTTGCCTTATTGGGCTTTCCATATATGATCCAATTCCGCTTAGCATACTCTTTAAATTTATGCATGTTTTAACTCCATGTGTCAGATATCTCCCTCTTTGTGAAATCAGCTATGCCTCATCTCCTTATTCTACATTGCAACTAACTAAAAATAGTTTTACATGGTTTTGTTCTGTAAAAAATCAATGATACTCAAACAAAGACACTGTGATAGGAAACATGGATAAAAAAGAGAGCTCAATAAATACGGAGACCCCATAGCCTACTTAAATCTATCCCTTATAGCAGTGGTTCCCAACCTTTTATGGCCCCCTTCTGGCGCCTTTTTGCACTCGCGGCCCCCCTGTTCGTCGTTTCAAAAAACTATAGTCCAGTGGTTTCCAACCTTTTTTGGCGCGACCCTCTTTGGTGGTTTACACATACCTCGCGGTTCCATTACATTTGAACCTACGTACATTTGAACCCATGATAATTGCACCTGTATGCTATTGCACCTATGGAATTTTTTTTGTTTCACGGATAGTTAAACCCATACTAACCCTAACCCATGGGTTTTAGCACCCGCATATGGATTGAACCCGTGGATATACGCATGGGTTCAAATGTACATGGGTTCAAATGTACGGTCACCATACCTCGCGAAGCCCTGCCCCACTTTCTTTACTTATCAATAAAATAAGCGATGATTGTGAATATTGTGCAATTTAATTTTTTATCAAGCAGCAGTTTTACTCAATGCTACGGCTGGCATTGAAACCCCGTAGCCAACTGCGTAATTCGTGGTCTAGTTTTTGGCAAAGCTCATATCATCCTAGACCAGGTTCATGTGGTCGAAAAATTCTAATTTCTTCGTGGTGTATTTGAAATGCTTAGTCTCCAAATGACATTTCAATTTGTACAGTTTCGTGGATTCAGCACTGAGAACGACATTGCACAAGACACACTGCGGCTTCTCAATACCGCTGATGACGTAGGATGTAAAACCGAACTTAAAATAGTCTTCCTCATATTGTCGCCGTGATAAATAAAATAAAGGGGACCTCATGAGATGGCGCACAACCTGAACTCAGGTTGTGTACCAGCTTAGGGTTTAGGTAGGTTATGCGACATCTTGGTGCGCATACTTCAGGAGTACCAATAAAGGAATTAAAACGTTACTGCAGGATGTCTGATAATCTCCACGATGAAACGACACAAACTACAAGCCTCCCTTAGTATCGAAATCCCTGCGTTCCACAGCATTCCTTCGAAGCCCGCGTGTTTATCGCGGCGCGCGGAAATGCAGACGAGTTCGTGTGACGTCACAATGGCCAACATGCCATAAACATCTTGCGCCGCTTGCTTGGTTTCAAGCTAGAAGTGACATTCTGGAGTCTCACGACAGCTAGTGGAAATCTCTCGGAGGCAAACAAGAGTTCATTCAAGACTTCGAATCCAATTGACAATATTTTACCTAAAGCTTTGTCTTAATGGACAAGTTTAGTGGCCATAACGATCGTTTCAAAATTTTGTTGTTATTGTTATTGTTATTTGTCTCCGTCTCCATTTTTAAAAAATCGCTTTTCTCTTCGAATACTGGACCAATTGTTTTGATATTTTCAGTGGTTAAAGATAAATTTTTTCTCCAGAAGGCTATTACTTTTTTTTTCGCTATGACGTCATCAAAATTATTGCCACTGGGTGGCGCTACGTGTCCATATATTTGAGCATAGCTCTCTTGTTTTCTACTGTTTTGCAAGATCTTCGCGACCCCCCTAGAAACCCGCCACAGACCCCCAGATTGGGAACCACTGAACTATACCTGTTAGAATGTATCATGTTTTACGACCTTTTCTGGAATGCAAAAACTAACCACAAACAAGGAAGTCCAAGCTTGTTAGTACACAATCAATGAGACTCTCGCACCGTCTTTGATATAGCTGGACGAATGTCACTGTCAACAGCAAGACGGATTTGAGATTTATTTTTGATGGTAACAAGATCAGAAAAAGATTCGCACCGATAGGTTGTGGCAAATTATGCTATCAGTGAAGAAGCTTTTTTGCTAAGTAGTGGATAAAAATACGAAATGCCACTTCATAGCTGCCTTTTGATATAGCTGGACGAATGTCACTGTCAACATCAAGACGGATTTGAGATTTATTTTTGATGGTAACAAGATCAGAAAAAGATTCGCACCGATAGGTTGTGGCAAATTATGCTATCAGTGAAGAAGCTTTTTCGCTAAGGAGTGGATAAAAATACGAAATGATACTTCATAGCTGCCTTTAAGAGCGGGCTTTTCCTCCGACAGAAACTCGAACTTAGCAAATGTTTCAGTCTTGTCAAATCTAACCTGTCTGGAAGTCAAGAAACGGATGTCAACGTCTTTTATCTTGGAATGATTTTTGTCACTATGGTTTTGGAGTTCAGATGGACGTAATACTTCATTGCTCATTACATACGAGCAATGCAGGCATTGAGCACATTCTCGATTCACTTTGGTTTTGGTAAAGCCAACGGAACTTTCGTTTTATTTCCGTATTTTGGGCATTATGATCATACAATTCACGTATAAGAAAGTGAATTCACCCTGTGATCTCAAATAACCCATTCAGGTAATGAAACTGCGGTGAAGGCTTGAACGGGAAATTTTATTTCAAAAGGAAAGTATGCAAACGAAGTCGCTTTATGATCAATTATCAGCCTTGTGTCATGGCCCCCCTTGAACTGCTCCGTGGCCGTCTTGGGGTTCATATGACATATTGTGATGTCACAAAGTAAAATTAAATTGCGTGTATAGTAGATGTGCAACAGTCAAAATTTCGATTCGTTACAATGAATAATGAAGCATCTGGATTTAGAATGAAATTTTTAATTGCCATAACAGCTAGCGACCTGAACTAGAGCCGATAAACGTGGGTTTTGGGGAATATTGAGGGTCTTAGAAGCGTTTCAAGCTACGAAAAAATGCTATGTGCTTTTTCTTTACATTTCGAAAGGAAGGGGTCCCGACCCGAAAAAACCTCGTCAATAAAATTGTGTGTTACAATTAACTTTCACTGATATGACTGACAGAAAAATGCTCTTCGTTTACATTTCAAAGAAGGGAGGGGGTTCCTACCCGCAAAATCACCCTCCTGGGTACGCCGCCGTACTTTGGTTACCCCCATCAAAAAAACTGTGCGTTACAATAAACTTTTACTGATTGGAGAAAAATTATTGAATCATTCATTCAGCTTCAATTTTTCTGTTGAATAAAAGAGTTTCCGGATTGCTTGAGGTGGTCCAGTCATCTACGACTTGGATAAGGTGCGCTAAAAACAATACAAGAAATTGATTGGAACGCCAGGTTCTAAATTGAATAATAAATGACATTAATCACTTATGCTAGTACAGAGGTATCAATTGTACAGCTATATTTAAAAACATCGTCACGCTAATAACCGAATTGCGTAAGTCATTTTTGGCGATTTTGAGTTTTTTTTACAAAATAGGTATTTATGTAATGCTGCGCACCTGTCTGTTAACTCAGATTTTATTTTAGAAGTTCCGAAACCCATAAAAATGGAGACTTAGTATGACATGCACATTTGTGCAATTGTTTCGTCATATTGAATTATCATTGTTACCGCAGGACTATTGTGACGTCACAAAGGCAAAATAACCTCGGCGAAGTATTTTCAAGTTTTTGCATCTCGGATTCTAGCTTAGCGTATTAATTTGAATTTTTACCACAGTATAGGAAGACGTGCACTTGTGATATTCACTGTCCGAGTACAATTTACCTTGGTTGGCTTTTATATTGGGTGCATTGCTGTTTTATTCTTTATATTTAATCTTAGTCTTATTTCGATGGGTGTGCAGAACGTGTTATATTGATGAAATATATATTTTTGAACATAAAAAATAATGTAATTGAAACTGATTAGCTATTTTGGGGATTAGACATTGTAGATACTGAGAATTACATTCGTTTTTGGAATGTTTAGTTTTCAGGACTGGCGCGTATAGTGAAGTTGCAAAATTGCGTATGTCCCCAAGTCATAGACACATTTCTGCCTAAGTCACAGTGCGCCATTATGACGTCACTTGACTGCGTCATACAAATTAACTTAAATCCGGCTACGATAAAAAAAAACTGGTGGGATCTGTGCTGCGTTTGTACTTAATCTTCGAAAGGCGAAGTTGATCAATCTCAGCGAAAACGATTCTACAACGTCTTGCATATTGCTGAAGCCCGTGACTGCGCAGTATTTTGTCGATATCAAAGTTCATCCGTGTAATTTCGAAGCACTTGATGAAAATCGACCGATATTCGATCGAATACAAAATTCTTCTAAACAATGGCTCAAAGAAATCATAATCGAAAGAGAGATGCCACTACGAAAGATTAAAGATAGGTTCCGAACCTCCGGAGAATACGTTATTATGATGAAAGAAAAGCCACCCGGTGATCCGCTTGAGGTACTTGCACAAAATATCAAGGAAAATCTTCACTTAAACCAGTCACTTGACGACGCAGATATAATTCCTCTACCTTCGTATTCATGAAGGATTATTAGATTTAATTCGGCACTGCACACATGCCACCAAAGCAAATACTGTAAATAAAGCATTTTCCGAAGTGTATGAACACAATATAAACGGCACTCCAGAAGTGTGTGTACTAATATGTAGGGATGGGCCGGGATTCGGATCCGGACTCGGATTCGAGTCGAATCCAGGCATTTTTTGGACTCGGATTCGATTTTGAGTCCACGTCGTTTTTACCGAGTCTATAATCAATTCTGTTTTCACTAATTTACACCTATGTTGGATATGTAACAATGTCACTCAAACTATCTATTCTTTTTAGTATACATGTGGTACACAATAAAATATGTGTTAGCGCAATATTTTTGAGTTTTCGATTCGCGTAAATAAATATGAAACATGCGCAGGGTCAACCCAAAGAGAATCTCATCAAGTCCTCTTTTAAATCGAGTTTATTACGTGCAATCCTTTCTCTAAAATAGGGAGCAATGGAAAGCATGGAGCGTTCTAGAACGTTAACATGAACTACTAAATTGCAAGCATTGTATTGACGACGAGTGGCATCTTCCTACCATTTGCGCACGTGACATGGTAAATTTAAGGCTAGAAATATCTGGAATTATGGGAAAGCATTGTAATCAAAAGCTTTTAATTTTTGATATTGACATGTAAGAATTTCTAAATAGACGCCCAGAATTGACGCAAGGAAACTGGTAATCCAGTTCACAGCCAAGGCGCACATTGACCCACGTTTACGCTTGTATTATGGCCGCCAAAAAAAGAAGATTTTTTTTTTAAGTTGATTCAACAGCTATCTGCGGAACCATTAGGGAAAAAATATGAGCTACGACTAATGTTTGTGAACGCGCGATGCTGTAGAATGGTCAAAAACGTGTTTTTCTACTTTTACATTGTGACGTCACGGACTCGGAGGATTCGATTCGAGTTCGTGACCTATTACTCGGATTTGTCGAATCTCTGTAATGCCGGACTCGTCCCATCCCCACTAATATGGAGGAAACTAATTTTGCTCGCCTACCTTTCATCAAGTTGTGTAAAAGGACTGAAACATATGAGACGGGGGTATATCCACTTGGCTAGAACTCGTAATAGAACTAAAATATAGAAAATCAGAATAAAATTATGACCCAACCCTAACCTGGTACACACACTACGTGAGTACCATATAAACTTCCCAAACTGTGCAAAAACCTGAGTTTGAGTCGCGCATAATATAGCTTGTAATTCATTGGAAGAACTAATATATAAGTAATAAATTGATTTCTCCATAACTAATAAGTCAATCATTTCAACTTTTTGGTTAATAGCCTCACTCAACCATCACTGAAATAACCTGACCTTTCCTGTTTAATTTGTGAAATAAATTTTGTATAATTCAAATGCTATGCACTGACCAAATCCCAAGCATCCGATGTTCTATATTCAGAAATTGAATCAAATCTAAAGAATGTGTGTAAATTCTAGTTTCTTGCTGAAATATAGCTCAACGTTTTAATATATTGCCGAGTTTGTTCTGCTCTGGGCTGGTTGCTTTACCCACTGATGTACAGTATATTCTAATTCACGCCTTCTCATGCTAAAATAGCGAAACGTCTCAACAAATGGCCGAGCTTATTCTGCTGTGAGGTTGATTCACAAGGTACAGGCTGATCATTTTATATTTATCAGTATCTTATCTAAAGGCTACAGCTTGCTAAATAAATAGAAGGCCGTACGACACTAATAATACATTGTAACGAATTGCTTATTTAACTAGCATTTTGCTGTAATCATACTGGATGTTCATACTGGATGTTGTTGATGAACAGTCTTTAAAATCTAAAGATACGGCACAGTAACCAATTACCAATTTGTATTTTATCCAAACAGTTATTTTACAATCTCGACCGTTTTCTCAAACATGATTTTCTTTGATTGTTTTGATTAAATGTCACAATTAGAATCCTATATCATTGACTTGAGCTTTGCGGTTTAGACTAAATAAAAAGGGTGAGAGGGGCGTCATTTATCAACAGATTCGAATTTACCTCGCACATACGTCTCCAAGTTTTGACGTTTAATAAAGAACTCTTCTTTGTCGCGGAAGAAATTCTGCCAATAACTTGAGTCGCAAATAATTATTCACAACCAGCAGTAGATGCCATTAGTGCGACATTTCATAACGCACGTATTGATGTAGATGTCGAATTGAACAAAATTAAAAATGAATTGTTCGTGATTTTATCAAATATAATCGTCACGTTTATCACATGACGTCACTACCGTGTTCGATAAGATCATTGCATGTAACAATGTTGTTCGGTACAGGAATACGTAGTTTAAATATTACCTGTTATATGTTAGACACTTATTGTCATCACTTAATATATATTATATAAAATATATTTATGCGTTTAGGCAGTGTCTCAAGTAAATAGAGAGTATATATTATATGAATTGCAATTGACGTCAAGTAGATAGGCCGGAAATCTGATGTAAAGCATATAAAATATCAATATTCAAAGGAACGATTTGAAGTGTCAGGTCAAGTGCGAACTGGGGCTTAAAATAAAAAATTGCTCCAGAAAAATATGAATAATTTCAGACAAGAAAATTTTAAAGGTAAACGCCGCTGCTTAATCAAATTTTGTTTGGATAATCGTGTCATCAGTTAATTGTGAATATGTGTCAAATAGTGACATGACATTTATTATATTTCTGCCTGATTGATTGCTTTATTGTCAAAAAAGACATACTAACCTTTTTTTGTGGTTGGTTTGACATTTACCGCAATAAGCATGAAGCAATGAGTATGATCATTCAGTCATAAAATACATAGTTTGGCTGTCAATAAATTCAAAGATCTCCTGTTTCTTGACGACAGCAAAAAATAAGAATGAATTACGGAATCGAACCATCAAGTTCAGCTGATGCTGAGCTTATTCGAGTATATGAAGATGAAGACTTGGCAAAAATTTATGCAAAATATAGATTACCATACTGTTCGTCGGTACCGAAGGAAATTGTGCAGTTTATGAGACAAAAAAGATCTGCGAATACCCAAGATGGGAGATATGAGCGAATGCTTGATGTCGGATGTGGGTGTGGAACATTATCAACACAAATGTTTTCTCCGTATTTTCAATCAATTCTGGGTTTCGATATCAGCGAAGCCGCAATTAAGCAAGCAAAATTGGTGAACAAATCCGAAAACATCACTTTTGAGGTTATCCACAGCCACAAGTTTCCAGTAGAAGACAATAGCATTGATCTCATCACGTGTGGGACATCCATACATTTTCTGGATATTAAGGAATTCGAAAAGGAATGCCAGAGAGTTTTAAAACCTGGTGGGATCTGTGCTGCGTTTGTACTTAATCTTCAAAGGGCGAGGTTGATCAACCACAGCGAAAACGATTCTACAACGTCTTGCATATTGCTGAAGCCCGTGACTGCACAGTATTTTGTCGATATCAAAGTTCATCCGTGTAATTTCGAAGCACTTGATGAAAATCGACCGATATTTGATCGAATACAAAATTCTTCTAAACAATGGCTCAAAGAAATCGTAATCGAAAGAGAGATGTCACTACGAAAGATTAAAGATAGGTTCCGAACCTCCGGAGAATACGTTATTATGATGAAAGAAAAGCCATCCGGTGATCCGCTTGAAGTACTTGCACAAAATATTAAGGAAGGTCTTCACTTAAACCAGTCACTTGACGATGCAGATATAATGCTGAGTGTTGAGTTAGTTACCTCTACCTTCGTATTCATGAAAGATTATTAGATTTATTCGGCTCTGCACTCTTGCCAAAGCAAATACTGTAAATAAAGCATTTTCCGAAGTGTATTTTAATGAACACTCTTTAAAATCTAGAGATACTGCACAGTAACCGATTACTAATTTGTATTTTATTACAGGTATTTTACAATCATGACCGTTTTCTCAAACATGATTTTCTTTGATTGTTCTGATTAATAAATATCACAATTATAAGCCTATATACTTGGCTAAAGCTTTGCGGTTTAGTTTAAATGAAGAGGATGAGAAGGGCGTCATTTATCAACAGATTTGAAATTACCTTGCGCATACGTCTCCAAGTTTTGACGTTAAATAAAGAACTCTTCTGTGTCGCGGAAAAAATTCTGCCAATCGCTTGAGTCGCAAATAATCAATCACAACCAGCAGTAGATGCCATTGGTGCGATATTTCATAAGGCACGTATTGATTTAGATGTCGAATTGAACGAAATAAAAATAATGATTATTCGTCACGTTCAACAACAGATGTCACTACCGTGTTCGATAAGGTCATTGCATGTAACAATGTTGTTCGGTACATGTATACGTAGTTTAAATATTACCTGTTATATGTTAGAATTAGACACTAATTGTCATCACCTATTATATATATTATATAAAATATATTTATGAGTATATATATGAATTGCAATTGACGTCAGGTAAGTAGGCCTAAAATTAGATGTAAAACATATAAAATATCATTATTCAAACAAACGATTTGAACTGACAGGCCAAGTGCGAACTGGGGCTTAAAACATATAAATTGCTTCAGCAAAAAATTATCAATCTCAGGCAATTTTTTAAGGTAAACGCCGCTGCTTATTCAAATTTTGTTCGGATAATCGTGTCATCAGGTAATTGTAGATAAGTGTCAAATAGTGACATGACATTTATTATATTTCTGCCGGATTGATTGCATCATTACCAAAAACGACATACTAATCTTTTTTTGTGGTCGATTTGACATTTACCGCAATGAGCATGAAGCAATGAGTATGATCATTCAGTCATAAAATACATAGTTTGGCTGTCAATAAAATCAAAGCAATTGGCAATATCATCGAAGTATAGATCTTCCGTTTCTTGACGACAGCAATTTTGATCGGAAATAAAGGAAATCTCGAAATTTTACCCAAGATTTTGAAATTCTAGGGAAATGAGTCACGGAATCAAATCATCGAGTTCTGTTGATGTTGAGCTTATTCGAGTATATGAAGATGAAGACTTGGCAAAAATTTATGCAAAATATAGATTACCATACTGTTCGACGATACCGAAGGAAATTATGCAGTTTATGAGAGAAAAAGGGCCTGCGAAAACCCAAGATGGGAGATATGAGCGAATGCTTGATGTCGGATGTGGGTGTGGAACATTATCAACACAAATGTTTTCTCCGTATTTTCAATCAATTCTGGGTTTCGATATCAGCGAAGCCGCAATTAAGCAAGCAAAGTTGGTGAACAAATCCGAAAACATCACTTTTGAGGTTATCCACAGCCACAAGTTTCCAGTAGAAGACAATAGCATTGATCTCATCACGTGTGGGACATCCATACATTTTCTGGATATTAAGGAATTCGAAAAGGAATGCCAGAGAGTTTTAAAACCCGGTGGGATCTGTGCTGCGTTTGTACTTAATCTTCAAAGGGCGAGGTTGATCAACCACAGCGAAAACGATTCTACAACGTCTTGCATATTGCTGAAGCCCGTGACTGCACAGTATTTTGTCGATATCAAAGTTCATCCGTGTAATTTCGAAGCACTTGATGAAAATCGACCGATATTTGATCGAATACAAAATTCTTCTAAACAATGGCTCAAAGAAATCGTAATCGAAAGAGAGATGTCACTACGAAAGATTAAAGATAGGTTTCGAACCTCCGGAGAATACGTTATTATGATGAAAGAAAAGCCATCCGGTGATCCGCTTGAAGTACTTGCACAAAATATCAAGGAGGGTCTTCACTTAAACCAGTCACTTGACGATGCAGATATAATGCTGAGTGTTGAGTTAGTTACCTCTACCTTCGTATTCATGAAAGATTATTAGATTTATTCGGCTCTGCACTCTTGCCAAAGCAAATACTGTAAATAAAGCATTTTCCGAAGTGTATTTTAATGAACAGTCTTTAAAATCTAGAGATACTGCACAGTAACCGATTACTAATTTGTATTTTATTACAGGTATTTTACAATCATGACCGTTTTCTCAAACATGATTTTCTTTGATTGTTCTGATTAATAAATATCACAATTATAAGCCTATATACTTGGCTAAAGCTTTGCGGTTTAGTTTAAATGAGGAGGATGAGAAGGGCGTCATTTATCAACAGATTTGAAATTACCTTGCGCATACGTCTCCAAGTTTTTGACGTTAAATAAAGAACTCTTCTGTGTCGCGGAAAAATTCTGCCAATCGCTTGAGTCGCAAATAATTGATCACAACCAGCAGTAGATGCCATTGGTGCGATATTTCATAGGGCACGTATTGATTTAGATGTCGAATTGAACGAAATAAAAATAAAAATTGTTCGTCACGTTTAACAACAGATGTCACTACCGTGTTCGATAAGATCATTGCATGTAACAATGTTGTTCGGTACAGGTATACGTAGTTTAAATATTACCTGTTATATGTTAGAATTAGACACTAATTGTCATCACCTATTATATATATTATATAAAATATATTTATGAGTATATATATGAATTGCAATTGACGTCAGGTAAGTAGGCCTAAAATTAGATGTAAAACATATAATATATCATTATTCAAACAAACGAGTTGAAATGACAGGCCAAGTGCGAACTGGGGCTTAAAACATATAAATTGCTTCAGCAAAAAATTATCAATCTCAGGCAATTTTTTAAGGTAAACGCCGCTGCTTATTCAAATTTTGTTCGGATAATCGTGTCATCAGGTAATTGTAGATAAGTGTCAAATAGTGACATGACATTTATTATATTTCTGCCGGATTGATTGCATCATTACCAAAAAAGACATTCTGATCTTTTTTTGTGGTCGATTTGACATTTACCGCAATGAGCATGAAGCAATGAGTATGATCATTCAGTCATAAAATACATAGTTTGGCTGTCAATAAATTTAAAGCAATTGGCAATATCATCGAAGCATAGATCTTCCGTTTCTTGACAACAGCAATTTTATTCAAAATAAAAGGAATCTCGAAATTTTACCAAAGATTTTGAAATACTAGAGAAATGAGTCACGGAATCGAATTATCGAGTTCTGCTGATGTTGAGCTTATTCGAGTATATGAAGATGAAGACTTGGCAAAAATTTATGCAAAATATAGATTACCATACTGTTCGACGATACTGAAGGAAATTATGCAGTTTATGAGAGAAAAAAGCCCTGCGAAAACCCAAGATGGGAGATATGAGCGAATGCTTGATGTCGGCTGTGGTTGTGGAACATTATCAACACAAATGTTTTCTTCGTATTTTCAATCAATTTTGGGTGTCGATATCAGCGAAGCCCAAATCAGGCAAGCAAAGCTATTGAACAAATCCAAAAACATTACTTTTGAGGTTATCCATAGCCTCAAATTTCCAGTAGAAGACAATAGCATTGATCTCGTTACGTGTGGAACATCAATACATTTTCTGGATATAAAGAAATTTGAAAAAGAATGTCAGAGAGTTTTAAAACCTGGAGGACTTTGTGCTGCGTATGTGTTTAACCTCCAAAAGGCGAGGTTAATTAACTGCAACGAAAACGATTCAGCAACATCCTGCATGTTTTTGAGACCTGTGATTGCACAGTATTTCGTGGATATCCGAGCCCATCCAAGCAATTTCGAAGCACTTGATAGAAATCGACCTATTTTCGATCGAATACAAAATCCATCTAAAAGATGGCTCAAAGAAATCGTAAGCGAAAGAGAGATGTCACTACGAAAATTCAAGGATGTGTTACGAACCTCTGGAGAATACGTAATTATGATGAAAGAGAAGCCATCCGTTGATCCTCTTGAAATACTTACGCATAATATCAAGAAAGGTCTTCAATTGAATACGACACTCGACGACGAAGATATCATGCTGATTGTTGAGATAGTTTTTCCTATCTTCGTATTCATCAAGGACTATTAGATTTTATTCGGCTCTGCACACTTGCCAAGGCAAATACTGTGATCGAGGCATTTTCCGAAGCGTATTAATGAACAGTCTTCTAAAATTTAAAGATACAGCACAGTAATCAATTACCAATTTGTATTTTATCCAACGTTCGTGCTTTTATCAATGTTATCGTCACGTTTCACAAATGACGTCACTGCCGTGTTTATTAGCAACCTGCGGGACAAACGCGGTCAACAAGGAAAAACTGTGCGGCACGCGTATAAGTGACAATAAGTTTTTAAGTTAGTTTAATCTGATTCGTGCGAGTAATTCCAATCCTTCGAGATTTGAAGCCCATACTTGAGATCAATTTATTATCTATGCCTATGACATCACAATGCCCTATCAGTTAGTTAGCCTTTGAGAAACGAACAACGCATGTCATAAGATCAATAACCAGAACTTTTGAAAGGTTGCACACCTCCAGATAAGATCATTACATGTAACAATGTTGTTCGGTACAGGATTACGTAGTTTGAATATTACCTGTTATACGTTAAACACTTGTTGTCATCACTATCACGAAAATTAATGTCATGTCACTATTTGACACGTATTTACAATTACCTGATGCACGATTATCCGAACAAAATTTGATTAAGCAGCATCGTTTGCATTGAAAAATTGTCTGAGATTGTTTATCGTTTGCTGGAGCAATTTATATTTTTAAGCCCCCAGTTCGCACTTGGCATGTCACTTCAAATCGTTCGTTTGAATAATGATATTTTATATGCTCTAGGTCTGATTTTCACAGAGTGGAAATTCTTAGATAAATCTGGACCATAGAAATTTACTTAAGATCAGGAGGTAGAGGTCTACGGGTAACGGATAAAAGAAAAACAACACACCGGATCGTTTGTTTTAAAATAAGTCAGGGATATAGTTGAAATATCTTTCTAGATAACGTTAGCAAGACAATACTTGAATATTTGTTTTGGCTTTTCAGAAGTGTGTGCTGTACCAATATGAACTAATTTTGTTCGCCTAATTTACATCAAGTTTGGTAAAGACCTACTTTACATCAAGTTGTGAAACCTATGGTCAGGGGGTATAATCACTTAGCTAACACAGACAGTCCCCAAACTTGTAATATAACTAAAATAAGTTAAATGGGAATAAAATTAGGGCCTGACCCAAACCTGATAAACAAACTGCTTTACCTTTGTCTTTGTATAAAACTAATATCGCCGTAACATCCATTCATAATGTTAGAGATTTCGAAGTCTTGACTAACATGAAGATGTCTCTCAAAGTCTTACAAATAGTTTAACAGATTTTCTTTCCTCATAATTCATTCTTTGATATTTTGGCAATTAAAAATAAGGTAAATCAATCGGGGCGCTAGAAAAATTCTTGTTGGCAGAAGTGGCGAAAATGCAAATGATTCGGCATAAATGCAATGCATTTAAGTTCAGAACGTTCATCATGTCAAATTTAAACCAATTTTAATTAATCACACGGTAAATTCTTGAGCAGAGTAGTGGATACCCACGAGGTGTGTGTGCCAAGTGAAGTTAAGCCAACATTTTATTTTAGTTCTATTACGAGTTCGGGGACGGTTTGTGTTAGCCAAGTGAATATACCATAGGTTTCAGTCCCTTTACACAACTTGATTTAAAATTGCCGAACAAAATTAGTTACCTCCATATTGATACACACACTTATGGAGCGCCGAGTATTGTATATAAATGCAGGGATTCGGACATAGACTAGAATCGAGTTTTTAGGAGATGTGTTTTACTAAAATTATTCCTAAGAGTATAACATTTACTTATCACAGAAGTTTATTATTTTTAAATAAATTTAAAGCTGAAAAAAAACCTCGGAAAAATGTGCTCCGGTTTTGAATGGACAGTCGATGGCTTCGACTTTCGAATTCGTGCATTGGCGGTTGATGACATCCCGGAAGTACGTGATATGGTCACCAGATGTTTGTATAAGATGCTGTTTACAGCATTTAAAGCAATATTTGTTAAAAGTTGGCGGATACAGGTAACTCCAGTGAGGAACATTAATAAATTAAAATAGTACAATAAAGTTTTGAATAGCTTTCTTAGATAACAAAAAAATAAATAATGATAGCAGATTCATATGGTGCAGTCATTGTTTTTTTTTACTATGGACAGTGGGTATATTCACTTGGCTAGCCCAGACAGTCCCCGAACTCGTAATAGAACTAAAATAAGAAAAATCGGAATAAAATTATGGCCTAACCCTAACCTGGTACACAATTTACCAATCGGTTTTACTGAAATCACATCATTGCTAAATATATTCAGATTGTTCCGTCAGGATTATCCGTGTTGCTTCTCAATTACTTCGGCTACGAAGTACAATATATTGCTGTTTTCTTCTCTGTTCAAATATGTCTGTTGACTTTACCAAGTGAGTTTGTTGTAAGTTTACGCGGAAATATCACGTACAACTCCATGAAATATGATCTATATCAGTGGTTCTCAAACGGTGAGGCGCGCCCCACGAGGGGGACGTAGATAATTTTTGAGGGGGAGTGAAGCTAATTAAAAATATTTGTTAGATTTGATCTTGTCTGCCTGATTTGTTTTTAAAACTTTTATAATTTATTTCATTATTTACGCTCCATCCACGTATTTTCAACGTGTTTTTTGAATACGACATACTTTCGCCTTACTATCTATTATTTGTATCTTATTGTTAGCTAGTTATTTTCAAGGTGGGCGCGAGACTTGACAAATTCCAAAAAGGGGGCGCGGCTTAAAAAGTTTGGGAACCACTGATTTATATAGTTGAATTATGAATTTGAGTGTCGAACGGATTGTTGACTGAACCTGGTAAACTATAGTATATCTTGCTGGTATTGTAGATTATTTGTCAAATTTTTTTAAGAGGTAATTTCATGTTGTAAAAAATACAGATATATATCTTGATTCTGGTTTTATTTTCAACTATACACCATGTTATAAAAAGCTATGAAGATATAACTATGTTGACACTAACAGATTGATTACTCGATAAATATTACAGTTGTCACTTGTGTTACATTATTTTTGCGATTAGATGCAGTTTCGTTTTACCGTTACCTTGCGCCGGTAATAACAAAGTTTGAAAGGGACATTATCAACGCAGACAAGACATATGTGGGGTTCTGGATTTCCGAGGTTTTCACAGATGGTGAATGGAGAAAAGTAGGAACAGTAGCTCTGCACGAAGCGGATCATCTAGAAAAACGTTGGTTTGAAACTGGAACTATAATTTCCCTGAGCGTAAGTGGAATGCGTATATGTATATTGTAGACCAGGGATGGGCTATTGCATTTCTGAGTGGGCCAGTTACAGATAATAGACTTGATTACTGGGTCGGGGGCTCAAAACTCAGTATGAAAAACTATAAATAAAAAGCAGTCTAAATACAACAGCTAGTCCAACAACTGGGCTAACGTTTATATAATAATAAAAAGCAAAATGTTAAAAATCGATATTTTCGACGGAGATTTATATTCACAAAAGCTGGTGGGCCGGATCCGGCGCGCGGGCTGTAATATGCCCAACCATGTTCCAGACTGTAGAGAATGCCTTATAACTTTAAACATATATACATCTGTTATATTTCAGAAGTTACGAATATTTCAAACGATTCCATCCACTAAACTTGATACGTAAATTTTCCAAATGGACTATTAGCGAATAAATTTCAAATATCTAGTTTCTTTGGTTCATAAAACGATTTGGAAATGATGTCACCGATGTACTTTATTTCAAAACTTTTGCATGAGCATGGACAATTGCATCCAACATTGGAAGTTGGTTGTTTGGAAAATTCGTATTTACATACAGTTTTGAAGACTTTGAAACTTAGGGCCTGACAGGTGTCTCTATAAAGTCAAAATTGCGAAAGGAATTTATCGATAGCATATATTGTTTTGGCCTTCACAGATTTATTAAATCAAGTATCACTTGAACAACTACTGATTAAAAATACAACAGACCAGGTTAATTTATGTTGAGAACCGACTTCATAACAAAATTGAAATTGTAAATAGACTTCATGGACAAGTATGTATTAAAGTAAAATTTGTGCTATACCATGTTTTTCACGTTGGTTGGAGCTGCGTGTTTATGTGAAAGAAATTACCCAATATGATGTAAAGCTTTGATCTTTAAAGTCGAAAACAGCATGGTTTTGTCTTTCGATATATTTGGGTTGGATTTCTAGAATACGTCGATTACAAATACTATATCGTAAAGAAATGCGATATGCGATGCTTAGTGGTCATTTTTAACACGTTTTATACATTGAAATCGTTTCGATTTCGTTACAGTGTGTATCAGTATCGAAAGGCTGGAGATCCAAGAAAATAGGAACCATGATGTTGAAGCACGCTCTCAGTCAAGCTCATTTGATGAAGTATAAAGTCATTGTTCTTCGCGTAAGCGAGGAACAATCCAACGCCGTATCTTTGTATAAAAAGAATGGTTTTGAAATAGTGAATATTATAAACGCAAAATGTTTTCCTCTACTCCATGGGGTAGATGTCTACGTCATGGCTAGAAAACTCCCGTAATGCAGGATTTAGTGTGAAGCAACCTTTCAACGTGTACAATTGACGACTTCAGACATTTTTGCTTCTGACACCTCTCAGTCATATTCCATGATGCACAATCTTTTTAAATTGTTTTGTGAACATTTGCAATAAAATACATCCCAACGAAATTCTCAGTCCATCGGCAACATCGATCAAAACGAGAATTGTGAACGATTTCCCGTAGTGTGTGTACCAGGTTAGGCTATATTCTTATTCAGATTTTCCTTATTTTAGTTCTATTTCGAGTTCGGGGACTGTCTACGTTAGCCAAGTGAATATACCCCCTACCCATAGGTTTCAGTCTCTTTACACAACTTGATGTAAAGTAGGCCTACAAAATCAGTTACCGGTACGGTACCTCTACACTTCTGTAGCGCCGGATTTTCAATGGCTAATTTGATTTGATTGTTTCTGAATTCAGTATCAGTTTACCAATATCGTATATGATGTTGAGAAAAGTCGTACATTCTAATAAAGAAGCATGTACTCAAATCTGAAACACTCGTACGTGTATGAGGCTGAGCACTGCCGCTGTGTTCTATCGCAGCGCATATAGCACCCATTAACCTCAATGATATCACCACAATCGTGATCTATCATCAGTTACGGTTTTTCAACATTTTAGCTCGAATTGGCGATAGTTTCACGGGTTCCTGTTGGTGATGTCACTATATTATTCCCTGCCCGTTTCAGTCTATGATGAGGACGCAGCAATGATTTTTAATTTTTTGCTTTCATTTCAAATTATTGTTTTAACAAGGCAAACATTTATTAAACTAAACAAGAGAGCTATGCTCAAATATATGGACACTTGTAATAAAACGAAATATATCATCATCACTTCACCAAAAACCATAGGGTACCCTACGCTTTCGGTGCGGTATCCTGCACGAATCTGAACAGTGAAACAGCTACATGGCTATGGTACGGTAACTGACTTACTAGTACTTGGGTACAAATAACGGTACAGGGACTGTCATAGATCTTCCATGTCCTGTGTTAATGATCTTTTCTTCTCCGTCCAATTTCAACGTGAATTGAAATACCAAGTGATCCGAGTCACTTCTCCATTACGGTACCAGGCCAAAATAAGAAGAAAATATCGATTCCCCGATAATCAATTGCGGTGCGGTAACTTACCAGTATCTGATATTCGTTCGCGGAACGGTTCTTCCTTGTCATATAATAACTCAATTCATTTCCTCGTACCAAATAAAAAAAAAGATAGGCTACAAAATTTATGTTGTTTGCATCAGAACTGTAACGAAAAGATGAGAGCGTAATTCACAAAGGTACCGTACGGTACCTTACCAATACCTGTTGCTGTACTGTAGGCCTGCTATTCGATCGTGGAACGGTTCTTCTCTGGCATATAAAAACTCAATTTATTTTGCTCTTATCAAAATTAACAAATACGGTAGGCTAGATTTGCTAGAAAACCTACATTTGACATTACTGCAATAATAAGATCGCGAAAGGACTACGTCAATTTTACTGTGATACGGTAACTGAGCAGTACCAAAGTGACTATAACACTTTTATAGACACTTTGAGCAGTACCATACCTGCAGGCTCGATCACGCAACCGCTTGAAATAAGTTCTAAAACAGTGTTCCCATGAGTAAATTTTAGAACAGCGAAATTTTGAATGAAATATCAGATCTCATGGGAAATTTAGGAATAAATAAAAGTGATAGCCTTCTGAAAAACAAACTATCAAACCTCAACCACTGAAAATTTCGAAGCAATTAGTCCAGTATTTGAAGAGAAAAACGATTTTATCATGACGAAGGAGAAGAATAATAACAACAACATAATATTGAAACGATCGTTATGTCCACTAAAGTGTCCAATAAAAGGAGGATCGTTTAACGGAGGCGTGAACTTCACCCGGGTAATTCTTTGGACTCGGACTGATGCAATCATGATTCGAGGCAGCCGACGAACGCAGAAACTCATCTAGGATAAGACGGCTTAACCATATGGCGAACCACGGCCTCTCGTCCGATTACCAGTCCATGCCGGGTATGGGATCAGTAAGTCATTTGTTTTCGGAAGCATGGACTTGATCACGCAGAAAGCCTAGGGTAGGATTTACATATTTATCCCGGGGGAGAGGGAAGCCGATAAGACAGCTTAACCATATGGCGAACCACGGCCTCTCGTCCGGTTACCAGTCCATGTCGGGTATGGAATTAGTTTTAGTTATTTGTTTTTCGGAAGCATGGACTTGATGATGTAGAAAACCGTAACCGACCAGCGGTTACGTGAACCACCATACGACGGAAAGGAGTCCAGCAATCCTCTCGCACATAAATACCCCGGATGGGATTCGAACCTGCGAACTCATGCAGGGTAATCAGAGATACGGTGGCGAGCCTATTCCTAACGCTTAACACGATGAGCCTCACTGCCGCGACAATCATTATTCACAAGGAACACACCTAAATAATGATGCATATTCTTCAATTGCAACACACATAAATAAAGATGCATATTCTTCAATGGGAACACACCTAAATAAGTATGCATATATTTCAATGGGAACACACCTAAGTAATGACGCATATTCTTCAATGGGAACACACCTAAATAATGACGCATATTCTTACACAAATTGCAAGAATGCTGTAGCCAGTGATCTCTCTACACCCTACCTATAAGACAGTTGTTTCTAACCTTTTATTGCTTGTGGCCCCCTTTCTAAGGATTTTAGCACTCCCCTGTTTCAGTGGTATATATAGTGTAATTTTGATCTACAGGCATCGGCGACCAAAACAAGGCTGAGGAGCTTGGTTATAGGTCTGTAAATACCTGCCATCTCCGTTTACCATTATTCGCAACGCCAATGTACAACACGCAGATTAAAATGAACAAAAAGCCGCCAAGTTCGGTAGGTTTCAGTCTTTAATAAAATATCATAAAGGCAGAGAACCCCAATTTAAATTCTATTTCAATCATGCCGAATCTTTTTGTCCCAAAACTGTTCACTCACCGACTCCAAAAAAAACAATTTTGACTTCAAAAACTTACTTTAATTATTTTACTCTAACTAACTTGAAAATGTAAATGAAACTAATTGGCGAATTCGAGTGAAAAATGTTGAAATCCACAAACTTCATGATTAGACTTATCACAAAATTGACTACAGATAAAAATGAACACCAAACTAAAACAAGTTCTTTGCAATGAGAGTAGCTTTTTATATGTAAGTAGGTTGTGTGTAGTTCGTAGAAAATGTGTGAAATGTCTAATAACAAAATACTCCAACACACAGAAATCTTTAATAAGCATTTTTGGTTTAAATTTTCAAGAGTTTCGAATACCAATTCTAAGTATGGTAATTGGTAATATAAGGTGTCCATAGAGTACTAAAATTTTTTTTAAATTGAAGGGTAGTTTATCGATTCCATATATTGTTTTGGCCCTCACAGATGTATTAAATAGAGTTAAAAATTAAAATATTAAACAATTACTATATTAAGAACTGACTTCATAACCAAATTGAAACTGTAAAGGGACTTTATGGACACCCTGTCCATATTTCATTTATTTAAAAGCTACAAATACCAAAGTGCTTTTGTAGAAATATACAACAAAATCGCTAAAATTACATATTGTATTGATAGATCAATAATTTAGATTTGAAAAGTTGAAATAAACATGGATTGGATGGAAATTTAAAAAATATACACAGATTATATGGCATTATATGGCAGGGGTGGGCACACCGCGGCTCGCCAGACTTTTTGTGCGGCTCTTCTCGCTAACATAAATTATTATCAAAATTTTACCTAAAAGAAAAACTTTAATGTAAACTCTTTTAATTTATTAAAAGTTGTTAAGAAGTTTTCGTCAATAATTAGGACAAATTATGTTTTAGTATGAAAATCGCTGTAGGGTTGAATTTAAGTCAGTCGAGTCAGCACAATGGTCAATGTTTATTGATGCGTCGGCGATATTGCAGCTTGATTGCGGTTAGTTAGTCTAAGTTACTGTGCGATGTGTCCAAAATTAAAAAAAAAAAAAAAGTACGAAGATGAAAACAGAGTTGCCTTGTTTATATATTTATTGTTATTAGACTCTTGTGTGAATTTCTTTTCTGTTCATAGTATTTCGATAATATTAATAAAATCACAAAACATTCTTTTAAAAATCTGACTTGCAGCATGCGGCTCCTGTACTAAAACATTGTGCCCACCCCTGTTATATGGCATTGAAGAGAAAATGTGAATATCATAGCATTGGTTATAACCAGAACAGTGACCAATGTTGATTTTCAAAATATGGAAGCTCAAAAAAATAATTACGGACTGTGGAAAATAAAACGAGTAATTGCATAAAAATTAAAAAATACAATTTATGGAAATAGGTGTAAATTACCAGTGTAAATATACAATCACATTAAAATGGCAATACTACAGTAAGTAGGCCGAGTACCTAACATATTGAATAGGAAGATCTAGGCAATTCAGTATAAATATAGGAACATGGGTCCAATTCAATGATTCAAATATAGACGGTATTGAATAAATACAGTGTCCTGGGCACTTATAAGTACTCTGCGATTTGGGGTACGACATACCAGGAGTATCCTCGCATGTGGGGCTTTGGAGTCGATTCAGAGCTATTTCAAATATTACTCAGCCCCTGATTCCAGGTTAATAAAGAAAAGACCAATATTTGACAAAAAAAAACAGCATAGGCAAGCCTTCTTCAGTTGTCTGTTGGAAATACTTCAAATTATTGGTTTTCTGTACAAACCTTGACTTGATTATTATCACCAATGAGACTTCAGAGTTCAAATTTCTACACTGTGTAGTCAAGTCAACCTCATTTTTTCTAACTTGTAAATAATAATAAAATAAAGCAATAGAACACAAAAATTGTGAAAAAATGAAAATTACACAGTTTTACTGGAAAAGGGAAGCCGCAGGGAACCAAAGCTGGTTATCGAGCAGCGACACCCGAGCTTCAAATATTTAATTTGAAAAATTGAAATTTAGAGTTGAAGAAACTACTGCTTTTGAGGGTGAGTACAATAATCTAACATCGCTTAATATAGATTAATTACTTGAGATTGAATTAAAGAGTCGAAACATCAACCGCTGGACAGAGAATTTCCCAA